TGGGGTCTCTATGGGTCTCTATGGGTCCCTATGGGGACTTTATGGGATCTATGGGGTCTCTATGGGTCCCTATGGGGACTGTATGGGATCTATGGGGTCCTTATGGGGTCCCTATGGGGTCTCTCTGGGTCCCTATGGGTCTCTATGGGGTCTTTATGGGATCTGTGGGGTCTCTATGGGTCTCTATGGGTTCCTATGTGTCTGTATGGGCCCCTATGGGTCCCTATGGGTTTTTATGGGTCTCCATGGGTCTTTATGGGGTCTATGGGGTCGCTATGGGATTTTATGGGGTCTCTATGGGGCTCTATGGGATCTATGGGGTTTCAATGGCTTCCTATGGGTCTCTGTGGGTTTTTATGGGTCTCTATGGGTTTTTTTGGGTCTCCATGGGTCTCTTTGGGATCTATGGGGTCCCTATGGGATCTATGGGTCTCTATGGGTTCTTTATGGGTTTCTATGGGTCTCTATGGGATCTATGGGGTCTCTATGGGTCTCTATGGGTCCCTTTGGGTTTTTATGGGGTCCCTATTGGTCCTTATGGGTCCCTATGGGTCTCTATGGGTTTTTATGGGTCTCCATGGGTCTTTATGGGGTCTATGGGGTGTTTATGGGATTTTATGGGGTCTCTATGGGTCCCTATGGGGACTTTATGGGATCTATGGGGTCCCTTTTGGGTCTCTATGGGTCCCTATGGGTCTCTATGGGGTCTTTTGGATCTATGGGGTCCCTATGGGGTCTCTATGGGTCCCTATGGGGACTTTACGGGATGTATGGGGTCTTTATGGGATCTATGGGGTCCCTATGAGGTCTCTATGGGATCTATGGGGTCTCTATGGGTACCTATGGGTCTCTATGGGGTCTTTATGGGATCTATGGTGTCTTTATGGGGTCCCTATGGGGTCTCTATGGGTCCCTATGGGGACTTTACGGGATGTATGGGGTCTCTGTGTGATCTATGGGGTCTCTATGGGTCCCTATGGGTCTCTATGGGGTCTTTATGGGATCTATGGGGTCCCT